TTTTTCGCGCTTTTATTAGATTGTTCGGTAAAAAGAAAGTAGTTGATTTTATTTTAGCCACTATGATTTGGAATTTGGCTACGTTATGCATAAGATATGTGAGTGTATCAAGATTTTCAAATCGATTCCACTCGAAAATGATACATCTGATCGATGCGGAACAAGAGCACCTTTTTTTTGTGAAACGGTGTGGGTTTTCATAATCCGAGATTAAATTATCAAAAAATATACATACAAAAAAGTTTGAGAAGTATTCATTGTAGTCCCACCCTGTATTATACACTCCTGAATGAAACTTTGAAATGGTTTTATGTCCACCGCATTGAGTATGTAAAGTTCAGTTCTTGTACCAAATTGCATCATATTATCTTGTGGCGTTTCGGAAATATTCAAGAAATATCATCTTCAGGAGCCCCCTTTCAGGGGGCCGTAGCTCCCTTAGGAGACATTTCTCGAATCATGTTCATTGAAACTCGTATTCCTATTTTTGGTCGAAGATGCCGCTGGTGAAGTTTGGCAGGCTAATTTCGGGACACCCTGTATATATTTCATATTTTATCTCCTTCACATAGGTTAGTGACCTGTGTGTGAAAGAGATGAAGTATTCCACGTATAAAATTGTTTTTCCATAATACAGGGTGGGCCACCAGTAACGCCTCGGTCTCTAGAAGGCTAACCACTTATCTTTTTGGAATTCTTCCTCTCTAGGAAGTTGCATGTCAACATAGGCTACCATTTAAAATTATTTCGAAACATACAGGGTGTCCCCAAAAACCATAATGAAGTTAAACCTTTTTCTATCGAAAACCGTATATATTATTTCATTTTGAGATTCTCCCTGGTGGGCTGATTTCAACAATCCATCATACTTGGGGTCTAGCAGTTATAATTACTGAGATATAGAGGGTGTGAGAAATCGAGATTTTCCAAGTTCAAGAATTTTTTGTGTCTAAACCATTCATAATTGGTCAAAACGGCTCACATGTCCCTATCTCAACTTTTGATTAACTATCTACTAATATTTAATTGGGACATATACCGGGTGATCAAGATTCTGAATTCTGCACCACCCTGTATTTTAATAGGCGTTGATACCGACTTAGGGGAGAAATAATACGAATCTTAAACCAATATGGCTACGATTTTCAAATTTTTTTGTTGGTTTTAGCGCGTTTGTGATTGATTTTGATTGAAATTCGAATATTCGCGTTTTTAGTTGTACAATTCTTTAGTGTTTGTGTTTTCGTTTATTTTTCATCGACTGAACTTTTTAACCATAGACACAGGAATCCTCTTTTCATAAGTAAGTTTGAATTTTCAAAATCTTTGGCTTGCAAATAAGTGGGATCTGAAACTGAAAATCATAGAACTGAAGTTAGGAATTAGGAGTAAGCTTTCGATAATAATATCTCATCTGATACAAGCGAAAGAAGTAGTAGATTTTAGCTCCAGGTTGTGTTGTCTCCCGACGCGTAGCGGAGGGAGACAAAAGACCGTGAGCTACCGTACCGTAACCGAATGGAAGATGAAACTAAGGACTTGCAGTTTTTTCTTCAAGACGGTATTATTGACTCATTTTTCGGAACTATAGCACAACAAAAGCCAACAGGGTATATATATGTGAGATATATCCGGGAAAAAAGTACTCACTTATTTCCCACGGAAAAAAAGTAATTTATGAAAAGTGACATTTTATAACCTGCCAACAAAGATGAAATGCCAAACTTTTTTCCCGTCACAGAAAAAAGGTTATTTTACCTATCAATAAAAAAATATTATTGCATTTGGTAAACTCCAAAGCATTGTAGGTAATGGTTGGTTCAACATGAGTTTGACAATGGCGCTTTAGCCTCATCATTTTTCTCAATGGAGTTATCAATCATCCAGCAACAAGCATAATATAATGGGAATGTCCTTAAAGTAAACCAAGTTTGAATCAGTAAATGACAAGTAGTGTAGTGTAGTCCTATCACGCTAAACAAATTTGAGTAGATCACTTTCACCACCTTGAAAACGAATACATATACCTAGGTCAACTCTGATCTATATTCAATATTCAATGCCAAGATCTGGAATAATGTTGGATTAAAGGGTTTGAGTTTCGAGATTCCACCGAACTGAATAAAATCATTATCGCAGTTCATTTCATTATCATCTGCAATGGCTTTCTCCTGTTCCTCAAAGTTACTGGCATTATGCTTTGCTATATTCCAACCACCTTATAAAGGAATAAATCGAAGTTGACGGTATTATACTGTGGTATTATCAACAACTGATGATTTTTAATATTTAATTATGATCAAATCATCATTTAGGAACCTAATCTAACTCAAAATCTGATTCTGACGTCAGCAGTTTTCATCCTTCACTTTCCGTCCTTATATATTCAAAAGGTACCCGTCATTTTGGTCCCATTTTTGTTGAGATATCGTATAGGCGATGCACCATATATAGAAATAGTAGATACATGGTGAATTGTGTCGACATTATTCCTCCCGTAGGTCAGTCGGTTGTCAGAAAGGATTTTTTGACAGTTTGTGGCAGTCCGAAACACGTCAAACACGTCAGGTCTTTGAGCGATGTGACGGAAGTCGGTACAAAGCGTGAGGCCGATGACAAGTCGAGGAGTTCCAGTTTGGAAAAACAAAGATTGAGCGATGGTCGTGATTTGATGGGGGAAGACGTAGCGAAAAGGGATGAAAAGAGTTTGAAAACTGGGGCGTTTACGTTGTCTGTCAATATCATCGAAACAGGTGAAGTGATTTCTTTCATTTATACATAGTAGGCAGTTCTTCATCTATTATTTTTGAAGTTTACTCATTGTTGTTATAGGTGGAAACCTAGTTAGTAGGCGAGAGGTATAATATTGCCTGTTCATTGATCCCAAAATTTGTCTCCCTTTCTGGCGCTAGTTTAGTGAAAATGCTGAAAATTTGGAGCTCATGTGTTTCAATAGAATATTATGTCAAAATAGACAATATTTAGGTTGAAGTTTTCAAAACGTCACTTCAGACAAATTTCAACTTTGATTCAATTTTCTAATTCCAAGTTAGTTGTTGGTTTGTTTGTTAGTTTGATTTTGGAATTTGGTGTTACATTTTGCATTTCTGCAAAAGACGGAGATCATGAATTCTTTAACCCTGCTATCTCCAACAACATCAGGTGAGAGTTTCTCATTGAGCCACATAGGTATTATTCATTTTATAATGATGCATTGATATATTCCAGGAATAAATATGAGGTATTAAGTTATTATATTTATATAAAAAAAGTAAATAAGCAGTGCATACTACCTTGCATGCCATCATTTCGATAAAGTGTGACAAGTAATGTTTTATCATAGCACTGATGAGTTTCCAGTTCCTACTAATATTCAAATAACATCAATGAATCAAAAATTCCATTGCTTAACAACAGTTTCTTCTTTATGCAACCTGCTTTCCTTATTTTTGTAACTACTCTTTATATTTATGATTAGAAGTGACACAAAAGTAGATCTTGACAGGAATTTGATATAATAACTTAATTCCTAATATATATCACTAGTTTTCTGATAATGTGGTCAATAAGAGCGATTATCGCATTTTTCATTCAATGAACAGACAATATGTATCATATAACTTTCACATACTAACTAGGTTTTCATTCAGAACTACAATAGTTCAGTTCTTGAAGTTTTCAATCTTTTCGAGTGATATCACAGAGAAAATAATAGATCAGCAAATATTCAAAAGTTCAACTGAATTATAAAACTTGAACTATGTGGAATATTTTCTTTTTCCTTATCTATAACTCTATTACTATTCATAAATTCTAGGTTTCTGTATACGTTAAATTTCTCATCAATAATGACGTCTGTGTTGACTTTGGTTAGACACAACTTTTCTCTAAATTTCTTCAATCTGCCATGCTTCAAATACACAAGCTATTCATCGATCCTAGTTTGATTGGTCTACTAGTTTGACCCACTAGCAAATAATTTCAATTCCGTTCAACCCCAAGTATACAATTAGGAGAAGATTTTTTGAGGTTTTCAGAGTTTTCAATCAAATTTATCAGAACATCTTAAGGACGAAGTTGGGTCACTTGAGGAATCTGGAAATTATGAAAGTAGATGTAACGTTTGAGATTGTAGAAAAAACATGTAGGTCAAACTAGCAGATTCAATAAAACCAGGTTCACAGAACATCTTCCAAATTTAATATAATATGGTAGATAAGATGAATCAAGTTTAGCAACTAAAGATAGTTATGTTCTTCGAACATTATAGGGATTCCGTTTCGTGCGCACCAAGCGATAAAAAAACAGTTAAATAGATGTGAATTGTGGATAAACCTTCAAGAAAAAATATTATAATCATTTTTCATGATTAATGTTTGACACTGATTGTTGACGTTCATCGTCATGACTTCTTTTTCGGCATGCAAACCTCTAATTAATAACCAATCTATTTCTTCTCCAAAAAATGCATGTTTCATGAATATTTCAGGGATAGTGAACGAAAAAGGAAAGACTTTTGGGATATATGCCATTCGTGTAAGTCGACTTTATGAAACAGGGTGTCAAGAAGAATGGCATATTTATAGGCGGTACAGTGATTTTCATGACCTGTATTCGAAGGTTAAAGAAAAGGTGAGTCACATTCACTTTCTTTCATTCATCAAAGGAAATCCTTATCTTATATTGCCTTTGATGTTTTGATAAACTCTTCTTGTATTATAGGAAAATGTTTCAGTTTCCAGACCTATCAAAGTTGCCATTTCCGGGTAAGAAAACATTCCACAATATGGACAGATCAGTATTAGAAAGAAGAATGAAAATGTTAGGTTCATATATGAACGAACTATGTAAACCGAACGTTTTATCGCGACATGTTGGATTGAAAGAATTGTTGATGCCTTTTGTAGAGCAGGGAGAATATGATAAGGCCAATGGTGGACCTATTTCGAGCACAGTGAGTGTAAACATATATAGTTTAACGATGTAAACTGCCCTCTTTGAGTTATAAGATTTTTTCGACAGAATTGTTTAAACATATGTTGGACAAACTGGAAAGACTCATGAAGTTAGGTTCAAGGAACATCTACCATATGATTCGATTGATAAATTCAGTGTAACGGAAGATTAAATGTTCGAACACGAATATTAACAATCTGAAGTTATATGAAAGCCTATAATTTGAATTTGAATTTTTAGATAGACACCTTGGTGAATCCTCTAAAGTCTGGCATGAAATCCATAAAAAATATGCCGGAACAGCTCATAAACACCGTGGATGAGGCTTTAGTGGGTCTAACGAAAGTTTTCCATCAAAAACCGGGCAGATTTCCGGAGGCCAGCAAAGTGGGCGCTTCGATTGAAGAGGTAAGTCGGAAATTTGATTTTTCAACATTCTTGGCTGGACATTTTTTTAGACGAAAGAAATATTCCTCTTATCCAACTATTCATTTGATTCAGTTGTTGAGATGAATATTTCATTCATTTTCTAATTGATGGTTACAAAAAGTAAGATGTTTCAGATCTGCAGTTACTGTAGTTACGGAGTTATGTGATTATGTTTTATACAGAATGGGACGAATTTTTCCGTATAATGAAGGTATTTTCGCCAGAGGTGACAAATTTGGCAAATTGACACTATTTATTACTTTGCTAACACCATAGATCAGTTTAGTAATGATGAGTATGCTGTATGGACTTTCAGAAACTCTCAGAGTCAAAAACTCCGTAACGAACTGCGATAGAATTTTTTTTTCACATGTAAGTTAATTTCAATCAGTCTATGATGTCTAATTTATCCTGTAGAATTTATCGTACGTTGTTCTGGGACACCTTGTATACCGAAGCAAAATACCAACCACGTGATTTGTGTATATTATTCAGAAAACACTTACCATCTTGACAAAATACAACTTTCACACACTCAAATGAAAATACAATCAGTAATCTCAATATGAATTCCAATTTACCACTCTTAAATACTTCGAGTTTTTTTTATTATCACTTGTGTCGACCGTACACGATGAACGAGACTACTGATTGGTTTCATTCATCATTCAAATGACTAATCAGTTACGTCATTCTTCCAACCGATTAAATCCCGAACAAGTATGACTAATTCCGATATCGATGGTAGGTATACGGAGTGGAGTGGAATAAATTTAAGGATATATTCTTTCATTTTCTCATCTCTACGAGGCGTTTTTGAAATGAGTTCATATATTCAGCAAATCAATAAAATTCAGGCTAACGGTTATTCCCATGATTCCCAGATTTTTGCAAATTTTTCTAATTAACGAGAAATTTGATCTTGAAAATTTAAAACTCCGCGTGAATGTGCCTTCCGCACGGAAATTTGTACAAAGGTGACGACAGAATTGCTACAGTGTAGAACTTTGGGTGGAAAAAGGGTCTCACTCTGGATTTTATTCGATCCCAATATTTTTTTATGGGTGCCATTCAATAGTATTCGTCGAAATCATTCAAGGTATGAAATATTTGTATTTATTTCAATGTCACCTGAATATTAGGCTGAGTTTGGTTAGATTCATTCGAAAAAGTAGTTATTGAATAAATAGTTCTTATTAACTTTGAAACGGCTGGGATGTATGTTTTTAAAATGCGATTTCCTTTAGAACGGTCCAAGATACCGTTCAAAATAAAGTATGCTATGTTCGTATAAGAAAAAGAGAAGGCATCAAACGGTGTAAGGAAAATGTTAAATTTGTCACCTCTCTCAAAAATGCCTCCATTAAACAGATAAAAATCGTCTCATCCTGTATAAAACATAATCACTGAACAGTGAACAGCCGTTTACATGCATATCATTAGGAATATTAGTATGAGTTAATTTGGTTGCCCGATTATCATTGAGAACATGACCACCGTTCAAAAGTTATACATGTAATATATTTTATGTATTCAAACTTTCAAGGTCAATAATTTCTTAACGAAGGAGATGATACGATATGAGTCAACCAAAGTTATCTCCAAACTTTTTCAATTTATGTCAATTCAAGAGAATATGTTTCGGACTTAAAAAAGTCCATCTTCAGCCCAATTAAGAAGTTAATCGTGAAACATTTTTCCCCGTATTTCAAAAAATTAACAAGGATATTATGCTTTCGCTCCGCTTCACTGAACGCTCCGCCTCGCAAATGCAGAATTCGCTTGTCAAGCAAAGTGTCACTTTTGATCCTAATAAAACAATCTACTATTGTTTTGATATAATTTTTCGTTTGGTCTGTTGAATATTTCCATATTTTTCTCAGACGGACGATAACATTCCACTTCGGATAATGTTGCTCTTGATGGACGAAGTTTTCGATCTGAAATGTAGAAATCAATGGCTGCGGAGGAGGATAGTAACGTTGCTGAGACAAATCGTCCGTACCATGTTCGGTGATATCGTGAACCGCAGGATATTGGAATATGTGTCTTTTATAACTAGTCCCAAAAGGGTGGCTCACTATTTGAACGTATTCAAGTGAGTATCTTCGGCGTCAACAAACGATTCTTTTGACAAATTAAGCTTCGATAAATAGTGATAGTAAAAATATCAAGCATTGAAAGCGGCGAGCTGAGTCGATATGTATATATGCGAATAGGAAAATTCGGCTCACAGGGTCAATCACGGTCGATGGTATTGTGTATACATAGCCAGTTGAAACAAAGGAATGTCGGGCGCTGCCGCTCTCTTTCGACTTTCAAAGGGACCGACGGCTCGCGGTGATGTGTTGTTCCATCTAACTTTGCATAGACTTTACTTAGACATTTATGGAAAACGGGACATAGAATCATTCTGAAAATTAAGTCACTCAAATAGTTGCTCTTGATCTATCAATCTAAATTATTTTCAGCAATGCAGCGTTCCGCTTATACCAGAAAGTAGTAGCAACTTCGATATTTCAAATGGAACACCCTGTATTTCAATGCATTTTTGGATTCTCCCCGATGAGTTGATTTCTATCACACTTGGGGTCTAGCGGGAATGATTACAGAGATATAGGGTGTTCAAAATCGAGATTTTTGTGTCGTTTATCGGTCAAAACGGCTGGTTAAAGATTCAGAATACTGATGACTCTGTATCTGTTCCAATTGAATGTCAGTAGATAGTAAATCAAATGAGATGTAGCAGTGTTTCAGCGTAGATTCCAAAAATTGAATAAAAAATGGTACATCCCGGTATTACCGGAAGTTGCAGAAAACTGTCAGTAGATAGTAAATCAAATGTCAAGGTGAAGCAGATTTTCAGCGTAGATTCCAAAAATTGAATAAAAAATGGTACATTCCGGTATCACCGGAAGTTGCAGAAAACTGAACATATTATCGCTAAAACAAACACTTTGAAGAAACCCTGTGTAAAAAAATTCAGAAAACTAGTCGCATTCACATACCTCTCAGCTTGTCGTAAATTACCCTGTATACTTATTTGTGGAGACAATAGTGTGACAACTTTTTCAGACATTCCTTTTGGCCCAACGGCGCTAGAAATGATAAGAAGTTGGATCGGGATCAAGATACCAAAAATAGAACCAGAGTAGCTGCCAAAGTAGCACTTCTGTCTTGTTTATCAGGTAATAATATCATCACACACCCTCACTCACCAAGAATTACCCATATGAAAGTTGCAAAATAACGAAGTTTAAACACTCACCAATCAGTTTGTGAATTTTTATCAAAATGGGGCAATTCGCGAGATTCACGGAGTGGGCGACATCTAGGTTACATAGTACGAACTTCAAACTGGGGGAAAACAAGCTGTTGTCTATGGATGAAGTGCATAGACTACATTGCATTCAGCTCGCTGTAGCTGTAGTCAAATTTGTCAATGACATAAAGTGTTGACACTGTTGGTAGTGATGATGGTTGAGTGGGTTACTTTTTTTACATTATTACATTTTTATTAGTTTAGTGCACAGTGAACGGGTGAAGAATTGGAGATAGTTCAAACAATTCAAACTAATTATGACGAGCAAATCAATTGACATATAAAAGAACAGCTACACCATGTTTACAATACCCAGATTGTCCTGCTTTGCATGAACAAATACAAATCCATCGTTCTACAGGAGTTCCTCTGGACCCCAACTTCAATTTTACTCCATGTGGGGAAGATTTCATCGCCGAAGTTTGTAGACAAAGTGCAAAAATGTGCCTTTTGTTGAAGTCTTCTGCCTCACAAAATCACATGATTAGCACGGAGAACTGCTTCTCCTTCCACTACTGGTCGGCTTTTTCCGTCTAAATAGAGCAAAATATCTGCCAAAAGAACATCTACAACAAGCATTATTACCGTTTTCGGTCGAATATTGACAATTAATGTCAATAAATTTAAAAACTTATCACTCTTATCAGTACAACACAGTACACAAGCTAATGGCACTAATGGGATTGAGTCAATTGAGTGAAGATTGAGTTTGTTTTCCCCCAGTTTTGACGTGGCTTTGACATGGAACGATGAAAACCGAGCGCCACCTGGTAACATTGATTTCCGCGAATAACAAAACATACTCATACATTTTGGACACATTATTGTGTCATTGTCATTTGATATTTGGAAATAATTACTTTCACCATATTTATTCACATAAACTTGTAGAAGTCTATGTCCACTTCTTCCATTTTAGGCAATTGGTTTTCTGTTTGCTGTTGTTCTTGATGTTATTGTGAGGGCTAGAAAACATTATTGAATTACACACATCACCCATCACTCTCGAATATCTCCACCTGTGCTTCAGTTATCGGTTTAATATATCGTCTCCAGTTCCATATCATACGATATATCATCATCATCATTTGAAATAGGTCCAGAATGATCATCACTTTTATTGATTGATTCCATGTTCTCTATAATTTTACTATTATTTGAAACTAACTAATGAAATTCTGATTTTTTATTGTTAATTCCATTTCTTTTTGGGGACCTTTAAATTCATTATTCTCATTCTATATTGTCAATTCCATTGCTTTTTGGGGACCTTCAAATTCATTTATTTATGAAAAATCACAAAATAGGTAACTATATGAGGAGAATCTCAATTATTATGTAGGTACTCACTTTCTGTATAGGTATAGCCCTTTTTGTTTCATGTGATGAGCTCGGAATATTTACTGATGGTTCTGATGGTTGAACAAAACTTCCTGGATTTCGTTTCAACTATTTTGTGAACTTGCTGCATGTTTCTAAAAAATAAAAGCAATTACCCAGTACAAAGTAAACCTCAGAAAAAAATAATCAAAATTCACTCAAAAGAAAGGTCGCCATATTTGTTGTCATTGTTGTTCATACTCTCAAGACTTGTATAGTTAGCCACCAGAGGCCGCGTGATTCTCGCGAATCATGCAATATCAACGTTATCAATTATAACACAGTATATTTTCCTTTCACGAGAAACAGGCCATTTGATTCAAATTATTATATGATCATTGAAAATAGGTTACTAGGATACCCATAACAAAACCCTTAAATGGATTATTGGGTTTGGACAAAACAGGTAAATCCATGTTAATGCGTTTTTCCATAATTATTTTTCAAGTTCAGTAGATATTATTAGATCATTAATATTTGATTATAATCAAATATCTTGAACCAAATGAAATATGGAAAAACATATACAGGGTGATCTAAAGAATCAGATCCAGATCAAAATCTTATTGATGGAAATTGAAATAATATACAGTGTGTTCGATACGAATGAATATAAAAAAAAAACATGTACAGAGCGACCTACAAAACCAGAGGCAAATAAAATATCTAGAACCAAATGGAATATTATAATTTATCACAGGGTCACCTGAAGAAACAGAGCCAGATCAAAATCTTATTGAGGGAAATTGAAAAAATACTCAGTGCGTTTGAGCTGAATGAATATTAGAAATATCATATACAGAGCGAGCTAAATTCCAGAGGCAGATCGAATATCCTGTACCAAATGGAATATTATAATTTATTACAGGGTGAGCAGAAAAACCAGCGGCAGATTGAAATCTCATCGATGAATATTTAAAAAATACACAGTGGGTTTGAGACGAATGGATATTAGGAGAAAAACATATACAGTGAGACCTACAAAACCAACCCAGAGCGCAATATTGCAGTCCAACATTGAAATCACTTTCCCAAATTCATTTCTCTGTGATGGTTATTCCGTGAGTTTCAACAATCGATTCAGCAACATTAAACCATAATGCAGGCTCATGTTTCCAGAAAGTTGTTAGGTTAATTGATTTAATTGATTCTTGCTCTTTCTTGGAATGTCCAGTTGATGTGTCTTCTGAGGGGGTGATGTCATGAGGCATGATATTGTTTGGAAATGTTGAACTTTCACGATATTTTTCCAAAATATCGAGTCTTGCTTCCAACGAATCATATTTTTTATTATTTTAATCAAATTTGACGATCAGAATTTCGAACAATTCTTCAAGTATATCGATCTTCTTCGTAAAAATGGTATTCGAAACATCATTTGGTATGATTCTTGATGAAATCTCTGAAAGAATGCTCCTGTAGTCGGCTTCGTGGAATTGGTTCTTATAAGTTTTTTGAGGGTACTCTGTCAGCATTTTCTTCATATCCGAAAATTTCATCAAATCACTAACATGGATGTTGAAATGTCTTAAAATTTGTATGACCTCGCCTTCGCTCAACTGCTCCATAATATCACGTCGGGATCACCAAATTGTGGATACAATTGATACAAATTATAAGACTTCGAGTTGTAAAATTATATTATAAAAATGTCACATCAATGTCAGACTATCAAATCATAATATACCAAGTGAGATACCAAGTATATAACATAACTAGTCACCATAAGTATACTCTGGTTAGTTCACTTTGTGAATCTTCTGTTCAGTTCGTATGGACTGGATGGTTTTCTCCGATTGAGTGGCAAGTATCAAACACTGCTTCTTGGATCTGCAACTGAACAGCACATTTAAATCGAAGTACATTTGAATCAGAAAATGTCATCAGAGGAAATACATAGATGTTGAATCTGAGACATACCTAAATAATATTTTCAACGTTCGTAACTAGATTGCTTCATATCCGCATTCTTTCCGTGTAGCGGTTTTTCCAGTAGGCATCTTCCACATTTTCAATTAGGTGGGTTATATTAAGGACCTTGAAGGCCAAACAATATGCTGCTGAGATCTAAAACTAAGTATCAATTTCAAATTTGAATCATGAGACCTACATAGAATATGAATCTATGAAAAGTCTGGATATTGTTTTCAACATTCATAACTGGAACGCGATATATTTTTGTAATTCATCAACTATCTCAATGAAGACGAGACAGGCAGATAAACAACAATTTTCTCTGCAATGAAGAACACTGTATATACCTAACCCACCATGCGCCTACCTCCTTTGCAGAGAGGGTTTATAAACGCCGAGTCGATACTCTCCCCTCGTAAGGGTACCTGTCGTGTTTCCATAGAGACATAAAGCTGAATATCTGTCTATCTGTCTGCTTGAGAATCTGGAAAGGTAATCAATATATCGCCTTCCGTACGAATATAATGATCTGAATGCTGTAAAGTATACTCTGGTCAGTTCTCTTTGCGGATCTTCTGTTCGGTCCGTATTTACTGGATGGTTTTCGCCGATTGAGTGGCAAGTATCAAACACTGCTTCTTGGATCTGCAACTAAACATCACATTTAAATCGAAGTACATTTGAATCAGAAAATATTATCAGAGGAAATACATAGATGTTGAATCTGAGACATACCTAAATAATATTTTCAACGTTCGTAACTAGATTGCTTCATATCCGCATTCTTTCCGTGTAGCGGTTTTTCCAGTAGGCATCTTCCACATTTTCAATTAGGTGGGTTATATTAAGGACCTTGAAGGCCAAACAATATGCTGCTGAGATCTGAAACTAAGTATCAATTTCAAATTTGAATCATGAGACCTACATAGAATATGAATCTATGAAAAGTCTGGATATTGTTTTCAACATTCATAACTGGAACGCGATATATTTTTGTAATTCATCAACTATCTCAATGAAGACGAGACAGGCAGATAAACAACAATTTTCTCTGCAATGAAGAACACTGTATATACCTAACCCACCATGCGCCTACCTCCTTTGCAGAGAGGGTTTATAAACGCCGAGTCGATACTCTCCCCTCGTAAGGGTACCTGTCGTGTTTCCATAGAGACATAAAGCTGAATATCTGTCTATCTGTCTGCTTGAGAATCTGGAAAGGTAATCAATATATTGCCTTCCGTACGAATATAATGATCTGAATGCTGTGAAGTATACTCTGGTCAGTTCTCTTTGCGGATCTTCTGTTCGGTCCGTATTTACTGGATAGTTTTCGCCGATTGAGTGGCAAGTATCAAACACTGCTTCTTGGATCTGCAACTAAACATCACATTTAAATCGAAGTACATTTGAATCAGAAAATATTATCAGAGGAAATACATAGATGTTGAATCTGAGACATACCTAAATAATATTTTCAACGTTCGTAACTAGATTGCTTCATATCCGCATTCTTTCCGTGTAGCGGTTTTTCCAGTAGGCATCTTCCACATTTTCAATTAGGTGGGTTAT